TGGCGGTGGGTCCGTCGGGCCCCGGGGGGTGGCGGTGGGTCCATCGGGCCCCGGGAGCTGCCCCCGACCAGCCCCGGAGCTGCCTCGGACCGCGGCATCGTCCGTCCGTGTGTCGTCCCCCCCTCCGCCCCCCCAAGTCCCAGGGAGCACGGGAGGAAGGGGACTGCGCCGGCAGGAGCCCGCCAAAGAAAACCGCCTCAAAAGAGGGGTTTTTTCAGCCCACACCCCCCCCTCGGCTCTTTTCAGTTGCACAATCATCTCAACTGCAAGTGTTTAATCGGCGGCAGGTCCGGACACAGGGACAAAGAAGCCCCCGAGCAGTTTGCCAGCCCGGGGGGCCAAGGTGCCTTGGGAAGCCAAGGCAGGAGGAAGGGATGGTCTCCGACCAAGTCAAGGAGGAAGAAAAGCCAGGAGTTTAAACACCAAAAGCATCTTTCTTAAGCAGGCTCCTAAGCTTCCTGCTTCTCCAGAGGACACATGGACATCCTCCTCTGGGGGACAGGGATGCATCATTCCCATTCCCACCGGTGGGCAGCAACGGGGTTCCTCTCCACTGTCCCCCCCCCACCCTTTTGCATTTTTTTCCCTTTCAGGATGGGCAGCTCATAGAAGGAGGCTGTGAAATACCACTACTTTTGATCTGACCTGGGAAAGCTGGGATTTAAAGTTAAATATATAAATGCACTATATATTTAGTTACTGTAGTGCAGCCCCATATTCAACTCGTGTAACTGCAGGAAAAACAAAGCTGAAAAGCTAAACAGTGCCCCAAAATCCACCCTTAGAGAACACTCCAGTGGGGGAGTGCTTGCAGTACTCTTATTCCTCCCCCCCAGCAGGGTTTAAAGCCTGTCATGTGGGAGGGGTCCTAGAAAATATCTTTCATTTAGAGTTCCCATCACCCAGAAATTCATCAGCCAGAACCTCCAGAACTGCCCCTGTGCCTTAGATTTATCTTCCCTCTATGGGGTTATCATTTGGCAGGGAGAGATTTTTTGCCACATGATAAATGCAGAGCTAACATTTTAGCAAAAAAAAAAAAAGCCAGTGAAGTTCTAAATCACCATCTACTTTGGCTTCTATACAGGAGGTTCAGACATTTTTCTTTTACAGAGCCCACAGAGAAAAGCCAGTTATTTCAAGAGAAAGGAATGCGTTAATGTCTGCACTCCGTAGTTATTCATTAATATTTTTCTTGCACTGCTTCCATAGCTCTAAACACCCTATGCTTCATAAAAGAAAGAAGGGAAAAAAAAAATGAACACTCCAGTGGGGGAGTGCTTGCAGTACTCTTATTCCTCCCCCCCAGCAGGGTTTAAAGCCTGTCATGTGGGAGGGGTCCTAGAAAATATCTTTCATTTAGAGTTCCCATCACCCAGAAATTCATCAGCCAGAACCTCCAGAACTGCCCCTGTGCCTTAGATTTATCTTCCCTCTATGGGGTTATCATTTGGCAGGGAGAGATTTTTTGCCACATGATAAATGCAGAGCTAACATTTTAGAAAAAAAAAAAAAAGCCAGTGAAGTTCTAAATCACCATCTACTTTGGCTTCTATACAGGAGGTTCAGACATTTTTCTTTTACAGAGCCCACAGAGAAAAGCCAGTTATTTCAAGAGAAAGGAATGCGTTAATGTCTGCACTCCGTAGTTATTCATTAATATTTTTCTTGCACTGCTTCCATAGCTCTAAACACCCTATGCTTCATAAAAGAAAGAAGGAAAAAAAAAATATATATACCAAGGAAAGCCATTAAGCTTTTCATTCCTAAAGCACCAGACTTCAAGACTAGGACATGATTCCACTGATTGCTGTGGAAGAAAGATGGAGCTGGGCCAGCAGCACCCAACATCACAGCAACACCACCGGCCTCCTGGAAAAGGGCCGGTCACGTGGGGAGCCTGTGTGTTCTTACCCAGTGATGTGTGTTTGTGCAGCCACGAGCTGTCCCTGCCCCAGCCCAGAATACACCTTTGGGGTGGGAACAGAGCCAGAGGCCGGGGCCTCTCCACCACTGAGTCATGCCCCTTCTGTCTGCACGACTTCCACCGCAAACTGCCCATCAGCTGCTGCCCGGGCCGCCCGAGCTAATGACATCCCAGTTGGCATTCAGTCACCCTCCCTTCACAGAGCTTCATTCTGCTCCGAACGATGGCAAAGATTCAAACCATCCAAACAGACTCCGGCTCCTCTGCATGGAAGGCGAGGCTCAGGGTTCTCAAAAGTGACCAGAAGTATCCCAGTTCTCCATGCTTACGCTGGTCAGGGGGAGAAAATCATCACATACCTTTTTCCTCTGCGAACACAAGCCCCACATCTCTGACAGGAGGAATCCCAGGTCCTCTTCTTTCCTAGAGGCGGGAAGAGAAGTTCTCTCACAGGCAGAAGAGAACAAGAAAGAAATCAGGGCTGAACCCACCGTTGGTGATCGCTGCAAACCCCAGGCGCTGCTGGTGGGGCCGTTTTGCCATGCCCTGGAAAGCAGGACGGGAAATGAAATCTCCTGTCTCATGGTACAGCTATTATAAGCACAGGGTCTAATGAGCTGTTACCACAAACACAGCGGGAAAGAGAAGAGAAAGTGCGTGAGGGTAACTTTGTGTGACTTAATTATAAATTTATTTTTTTTTTTTCATTTTTCCTCTCATTCTTACGATAAGCCGTCATCCACCCCAAAACACCCGCAGATTACATCCCGCCATCGGATGAAAACTGCAGGAGCTTGGCAGAGCTAGTTTGCTGACACCTTCCTGTGGTTTTACTACAACGAGAAGAGTACCCGAGAAGAGTACGTGTCACATTTCCCTGGTCAAAGAAAGCTCCTGCAGAACGAGGAGTATCACAAAGTACGAAGCTGCCTTGGGGAACAGTGGATGCTGCTCAGCACAAAGCTGAGAACAGACTGCAAGCAAGAAGGGGAACACAGACCTGATACGTGCTATTGTAAGGCTGCACTTAGTTCTTTGTATTTATTAAGAAATAAAACTACACTGGTCAATCAATGAGGAGGCTTGGAGGAAAGTCAGCTTCAGCAGCAGTGTACAACCATCCACCTTCTTAACTAAAACTACACTGGTCAATCAATGAGGAGGCCTGGATAAGTCAGCTTCAGCAGCGGTGTACAACCATCCACCTTCTTAATGCATAGGATTTGTATTGCAAATCCAGAGCATCCTATTCTCATACTGATTGGGAAAATTAATTTTATGGTAATTCAACATAGTTAAGAGAACTCACTGGCTTTTTACTTGCATGTTAATATATTCCTTGAGGCTTATGCAAAACTGATACACAAAGGCTCCTTCAGGTGGACTTCAGCAGCATTACCCAAGATGTGAAATGGAGCAGCTTGCAGATCATCAAACCAAGCATCCTGGATTCCACTGGAAGTCTCGGAGAAGGCAGCACTGCAAGACCAGCCAGATACAGAACCACGGAGAAATGGTCCCTTGCTAAAGGAAGAAAAAAAAATTAAGGCAGAGGGAGTTGTACCTCTGGGAGCAGAAGAACAAAGAGATGAGGAAAGAGTAGCAAATTCATTGCAGGGAAAATCTAGCCCCATTTCTTGCCCTCTGCAAAGCCCCGAAGTCTCTTCTGTTCTTGTCCCTCCCTTGGCAGGGAGGGGTGGGATGAGTGTCAGTGAAGCTCCGTGGTGTTGTCCTTGTACACTTGTCTGAGCATTTCTCTTTCTTCTCCTGGTGTCTTTGGGAGAATTGTGCTGAGACATCACAGGTCTGATCTGAAAGCCATGGAAGAACCTCCCTCACGTCTTACGAAACAGATGGAGCTTTATTTTTAAAATGGAGCCTGGCTACTGTGGAGCTCTGACCTTTTTCAGTTGCTGCTGCTGCTGAGCCAAGACTTCACTGCCGTAGGGCAGTGCCCTTGGGTTTTGTCATGGATACCCACGTACTGGTTATTGCAACAACAGCAGATGAAACATCCCTCTTAGAAGCTCTGCAGTTCAATAAGTTAGCTGGAGAGCAAGGGCCTTACTGTGGGAACTGCTTGGTTTGTTAGTTTTGCTAATGCTCAGCCTGGATGCTGGCCACCAGCTGGGCTGCACACAGTAGCGTAGCTGGGAGATCTTGAGGGAAGCTGCATGCAGTGGCATTTGGTTTAGGTTATAGCAGGAAATTCTGCATCTGGGCCCTTTGTCTCAGATTTTCTGCTTTGATGCCCCCAACACACCATGACCATTGCTTAACTCAGAGCTGCTGCTGCTGCAACAAGAACTCAAAAAATAAAATTTCTCTTCCATGATCTTAGCAGGTGGTGTTTGTCACAGGTCACCTCCTGGGAGCTGCGCGTGTAAATGTCCCCGTCAACCAGACTGTCCCCAGTTTTGGCAGAGCGTGCTGGGGAGCTGGGGTGACAATGCACCCAGGGTGCACAGAGCCAGTTGCCAACCAGGGATTGTCACAGTCTGACAGCAGGGAGCTGGGCTGGCTCTCTGCGCGATGGAAATACTGCCCTTGGTGAGGATGGTGACTTGTTTTCTGGCATTGTTGGCATCTATACCAAATAGTTTTGTCATCGTCAGAATTGTAATGTCTTGGCCAGGAGCAATGGTGATCCTTGCCTTTCCTGTGACCTTGGGGATGATTGCTCTTTGGCCTGTTAGTGAATAAACTAATGAGAAGTGCTGTCATTTTCATATTGCAACTAAATTACGCAACAAATCCGTGAAATCCTTCACTAGCTGATTTCAGTTTTTTTTCTTTACTTTGTAGGAGAAGACAGGAAAGGGATGATATAGGTTAGAAACAGAAAGCAAACAACTCATGTCTGTTTCTGGACCAGAAGCTTCTATACAGGTTTTTCTAGCTCCATCAACAGTAAGTAATGGTGAAGAGGAACTGTAAGAAAGAGGTCTATTTTTCTGCTATTGACAGCATTAGGTGATGTCAAAAGAACATTAAATATTTAGGCCAAAATACTGCCCATTTTCTCAAGTTTACCTTTGGTGATGCCATGGAGGAAGACTCTTTTCAGGAACAGGCTCAGGTATCCCCAAATCTGAAGGGCAGGGCAGGGCGTGGGGAGGAGGAGGAGAAAGATAAAGAGGAAAAAACACTAATCATCATCTGCTAAACACAACCTCCAATAAAGGTATCAGTCTTTTTCTGAATTTCTGCACGGAAATTATGGCTCTTGTTAATGGAAATATCGTTCCAGCTCTCTCAGGCTGAGATTTAATTATTGAACAAAAGGGGTTTCCTCCCTGAAAAAGTTTTTCCGAAAAAACATTCCATCTGAGTCAAACTACAAAACTTACATCTCAAAATAGTTCAGGAAATGTTTTCACTATTTCAATCTCGTGTGTTGTACTTTGGGAAAATACTAATTCCAACTTCATACTTTTGTTAGCATTTTGAAAACCATAAACTACATTTTAAAATGAGCAAGAAATAATTTCATGTTCTTTAGAGGAAGACAGCAGAAAATTTCAGGCATTTTGAAACAACATTAATAATATATTTTTTTTCCAAATTTTTGTTGTTATGTTAAAACTAAGTCATATTTTCTGATTAAAAAAAGGAAAGAAAAGAAAATGCCACAGGGTCCTAACAATCTCTGCCTGAGCTGCCAGGGCCACATCCCATGACCTTTCCATGGGATTGTATGTAACGCTGGTAGCACAAACTGAGCAGGCACCATCCACCTGCTCCAGCAAGGGGAATGGTCAGGACACAGAAGAACACTGAACAAGATGGCTTAGCTCTGGGACATACAATGTAGTTGTACGGGCAAAAGAGACATTCCTTGCAGCTAAAGAAAATTGAATTCAATAGCACTGGGTCAGACCTCAGGTGGGCCCTTTCTATCCAGCTTCCCACAGGTGAGCGTACCCAGGTCCCACCCATCTGGATCACCCCCTTAAATCTGGTGGTGTCTTCTGTGGGCTGTTGTATTTTAGACCTTATTAATACAGACTCTTCTGTCTTGACACATCCAATGATATGATCCACCTCGTCTGGTATCACCCTTCCAATTTCAAATTCAATAGCATTGGGTCAGACCTCAGGTGGGCCCTTTCTACCCAGCTTCCCACAGGTGAGCGTACCCAAGTCTCACCCATCTGGATCACCACCTTAAATCTGGTGGTGTCTTCTGTGGGCTGTTGTATTTTAGACCTTATTAATACAGACTCTTCTGTCTTGACACATCCAATGATATGATCCCCCTCGTCTGGTATCACCCTTCCAATTTCAGATACTTTTAGAATGTACTTAATGCCCGTGATGAACCTGGCCAAGTGCAGAATACCATGCACACATCAAAAAAAAAAAGATGATCCACACGGTGTATAATTAACCTTCTTTAAAGGTTTAGTTAGAAACTCTTAGAGCCTTCAAGTTACCATGTCTACTCTATTCAAACACAAGGCAGCGGTGGCTCTGAACAGGGTATGAACACAACCAAACAGTCAAGACATGAGAACAACTTATCACCACAGCCATCACTGATGAGGAAAAGCCTTCAGTAGCTCAACAGGCGACTGCCAGCAACATGATGTCCCCAGCACTGCAGCAGGACAATGACATCAGCTGGAGATGACAGCTGAAACGAAGGCAGGCTGTTTCCTGCTCGGTCACACGGAGCAGTTACGACATCATGCTTTCGGTTAGGGGCTAAGCACATAGAAGAGCATAAGGCAATAAAAAGGGTATGTATCATGTGCATTCTCAGAAAGACAGAAAAAAGTTGATAGGTCAGTTTTCTGCGTTTTTGAAGTAAAATCAAGCTTGAGAATGAAGCCTATGGATTGGCACTAAATCAGGAAATCCATTCTGATTCTTGAAGCACAATTTTCCTTTTGCCAGCCTAAGGGTACCAAGGCCAGTCCTTCTTCAAAGGACATTTTCATCAGCCTACAAGAAGAAAAAAAACAACTCTTCTGTTTCCTAACCAGAAGGACAGCTTTGACAGCACTGTCCGTGAAGATAAGGAGGCTTAGCAAGAGCATGACAGTAGCAAGTAAGTTCTCAGATGACTCTGTCATAGGAAAACTACTATTGGGGAACTTTTCGCTGGGCCAAGACGTGTTCAGAATAGTCATCTTCTTCAGTCATCTTCTATTTCCTCACCGCTGCCAGCAGGACCACGAAAGAAAGGTAGTCAGAGGATGAACTGGATGACCTAAGCTGTTGTGAACGACACAGGTCAGCATTACAGACCGAGCCGAACCGCATCACACAGCTTGTGGTTGAACAAAAGCTCGACAGGAGAAGGGTTCAATGGAAAAGGTTTTGCTAAGCTGTTCTCTTTTCATAGACGCTTCCCATCTTTCTGTGGTTTTGTGAAAAGCCATTTCAGTCCAGTGAACGTGTTTCTGAAATACTACATACCTGTGTTTGGAGACTGGCAACGCTCAACAGATGTAAAGTTGTTCTTTACAAATATATAGGTTCTGTTCCATAAATTAAAGATTAATGCATAAAGAAGCAATTAGTCTGCAACCCTGCTGCTTTAGACCACGAATGAATTATTATGTAGAAAAAGGAGACCTCCAAGGAAAAGAGTCAGATGTCTGCAAAAAGCAATTACCTGTCAGTAAGTGATATCTGTCCTTTTGAATCCATATAAATCCCACTCGGTGTTACAGCAGGAGCATGGCAGACAGCTGTCCTTCCAAAAGGGAGAAAAAAAGAAAAGAAAAAAGATTGTATTTTAACTCTGGTTTTAGTCATTTGAGACTAGTTTGAGCTGCTGCATTATTTCTGCGCTTTACCAAGTACAATAATCATGGTCTACACAGAACACATCTCCCTTTGCTGTAGATCAGCTGTCCTGCAGGGTAGCAGAGAAGGGTGATCAAACCAGCTGACAGTGGCTCAGAAAAGGACATTTGAACTTACACCTTTCTGGGGGATGGCACAACTGTGGCTAATTACCTTGGGAGGGTTTGAAGAAAATCTGTTGCTTGAGTTTCGCTACATAGTATTTGCCAGGAAGTGAACATTATAATTCTCTTTATCTGGTACAGCAAACCGGAGAATGCAGAACTACTCATGATTCACATTTAAGAAACTCTCCTGACAGAAAGCATCCAGTATCAAACTACAAAGGATGTGTTAATACACCACAAAGTAAAGGGAGGAGAGGCTTAACCGACGGGGTATTTAACAGGCAAGTGTCCAGCATTTTTCTGTTACTACAACAAACTCAGTTTTGGCTCTCAGTATATGCAGCTTCACATCTATGAAGCAGTTATTGCCTGCAGAAGACATACTGGGCAGTAAAGGGTAAATTTTCCCTATTCACAGGTAAGAGCATTACCTTAATCTTTTATCTAGGCCTGCTTTTCAGTGGCACTTGATACAGGAGCTATACCAAACACTTCCTTGAATACATAAAGCCAGGGATTGAGTTACACATGACTGAAGATCTATGCCGCTAGTAAGACAAAAGCTCCTACATTACCTGGCACATGCCTGCTAAATTATTGAAGTGTCTCTTCAAACTGAATATATTCACTGGATAATTAGTCAACAGAAGAAAACGGTCTCTCTTTACAAAGCTAATGTTGACAGGTATTGTATCTTTTATGCCCTGTAACAAAAAGTATTTGCAGAACCCACGCAACACAAACATTTGGAAGGGCTGTGTTGATGCCAGAGCGCTCCCGAGGCGCGCGGCCCCTCTGCCATCCCCCCTCCCTCTCCTCTTACCCTGCCCGAATCCCTTTTACCCCCTAACCCCACCTCAGAAACAGGTAAACGGTACAAATAAACGCAGGTTTGCTTTGAATTTGAAGAACTGAAATAGACGTCAGCCCGAATCCCTCCCTGCGTGCCACCTCCATGGCCGTGCCCAGTGGGATGCCCGGGGCAGAGCAGGCAGATGCTGCCACTTCCAGTTCCTAACGCCTGTAGGTGCCACCTCCCAGCCCCCTGCTCCAGCCAACACATCCCCATGAGCTTCCTTCCCGCTGCAGATTTTTGGGAACACAGGCTGCTCCGTGTGTACACAGAACATACCATGCCACAAGCAACCCTCACAGGCAGCTGATGATGTGCCATTTATCCCGACCTGGCGAGGGAGGAACAGGAGAGGTTTCCACTCTTCCAATGGCTGAGAGCAGCAGGATGGCCCCTGTACTGCCGGGATATAAACCTAAGCTTACCTGGAAATAAGAACAGACGTTTGAACAAGAGCTCTAGGATGAAATACACGGTTCTACCAACCCCACCTCGCAGCCAGAGGTGTGCCAAGACAACTTTCTGTCAATGCAGACAATACTGGGCTTTTTTTCTTTTAAGCTACGCTTGCCACTCAATATTAAGGGGACAGACAGGCTCTGGCAGGATGACGATGGCACTAAATTGTAGTTACAGTTAAAGCTTTATTTTCTTAAAAGGATATTATGATTTGTACAGCATAGAATTCCCAGGTAAAATGGCACAGGATTTCTACAAGAGGTTTCTACAATTCTAAAATGGCAGAGGATTTCTACAAGAGATTTCTACAATCTCTACGTAGCGTAATACAGAATTTATAATACAGCTGATAATTTCTAATCACCTGGCTGATTAGATCAGGTCAGATCTCAACACAGAGTGTGCCGTATGAACAGACCATCATAATCTATATAGTAATCGTATAAAAGAACACAAGGCACTCACTCAGTCCTCGGAGGAAGCAGATAAGGTGGCATCCCTGGCCATGGGGCTCACTGTCCAGCAGCAGTTCGGGTCCAAGCTCCCCACTTAGGGCTTGTTACTGATTTTATAGCCAGTGCTCTGGGTGCTGTTACGCTCCTCATTCTGCGCTGGGGACATCACTGCCACCTGGCTGGTGGGTGCCTGGGACCTTCAAGGCCAGCCAGGAATGGAGTAACCGGCCTGGCACCCAGGAATCTTGAGGCCAGCATGGAGGGGAGGAAGAAATCTGTTTGGTTCGTCTGCTTGGTTCACAGGACCTTCAGGGCCTGATAATGAGGGAAAGGGAACAAACACAGGAACAGATCTATGAGCTGCTTGGTCTCAGAGAAGGGCTGGTTCCCTTATAAAATGGCATTAGTCGTGCCAAGAGCATCACCAGGGGTGATCACATACACCAGGCGGTCACACACACCCCAGAGACCAGATAGCTACGTGGGGTAAATATGCAATTTAAAAACATACTCAAATCTTACAACTCAGGACTGTTTCTCCCTCTCTTTATCTTCTGCATTTCCAAGCTTTGAAAATGAAAATAAAAAAGATACTGCATTTCAAATATTTGGAAAAATGTGCCCTTGTTTTTAAGTAGCTTGTCACTGAGCTTGTTTTTCAGTGAAGTATTTTTATTAGCTTTTTTTTTTTTCTTTCTTCCTTCAAGAAATCCAGTTTAGAAAAAAAAATAGTTGCTTACCCATTTTAAACCTACAGTCTCCTACAACAGCAGTGTGAAAACTAGTCTAAGTAACTGAGATTTATCTCAAAGAGAAGGTAATTAAAACGCTAGTAGCCAATAGCTCATACACTTAACTCACTCAGCTCCACCCTCACCTAATTCTAGACTCCTGTCTGGTCCCCAAACTGCTACCAACACCTTTAACACTACCTTAGGTCCCCAAGGCTTGGAAAGCCATATGGATGCTCTGAGCAGCTGAGAGAGCATCTCATAGCTTGTGCTAAAAAGATCTTGGTTTATATTTCTGGATATCACATACACTCCTGTAAAACTGAAATTAAAAAGTATTTCCATCTTTTATGTATCTTCTTCCATTCTCTGCGTATTCTTGATATTAGGAATAACTGTATTTTGTCTCACAGCCCAGTGCAGCAGCTCTGCCAGCCCCACAGAGAGCTCCGCTGGAGCCAGGGGAGCAGCAGCCCAGGGACGCTCCTGCGCCAAGAAGCCATCAATGGCGCCATCTCCTGGCAGAACAGAGTTACAGCAACAGCTCTAAAGGACACATGTAGAACATTTTGTGCATTGCATTCTACACTGCAATTGCTCGTGTTGAAACTTTTATTAAGGAACTGGTTTTATTTTTAATTTGTTCCATTTTATTTTGTGTTGCAGCACCAGTGGTTCTCGCCTGGCTGCTGAACAACCCAGGGGAAATGCCATACGTACAGAATCTCCACCAAAAACTTGGGGAAGAAGGTAACTTACTCTTATGCCAGACTGGAAATGACACTTAGCCAGAGAACCTGGAGATGTAAAAACCTAACAGCATAAACCTTAACATTTCATTTTGCTCTGGTTCATCTCTAGAAACGATCAGCAACAGCAAAAAACCAAAGAAATAAGTAGCTTCTGTCATTTCAAAGGCCAGGTAGCGTGAACCTTTTGAGACTGGTTGGACACAACTCCTTACAGTGGGCAATTGCCCAAACTCCTCATCTGCAAACAGCACTTAATCACAGTTAAATTCAACCAGGCCTAAGCAATAGTTTTATTGAAACTTCCCACACAGACCTCACCCCACCTCTATCCCAAATCCATACTTCTCTGGATAATGACTCCAATTAAGCCGTTTTCCTGGCCTGGGAGCTAGGCTGGAGCACTCACCAATTCACCTATTGCATTTCATCTGACAGATGGCAGACTAAGACACTCCGACCACTCGCCATTGTGCAAACACGTCTGTATTTCGTTTCTGAAAGGCTGTAGCAGACAAACTTATTGTCAATTGCTTAGTCTTCCCCAAAAACACTTTAAGTACACTTCTGAAATGCACATGAAATCAACATGGAAGGCCATTGCCATGTGACACTAGCAGCAGGAAGGTTAAGACAGCTTATCTGAAAATGTTTAGAAAATGTCCCCATTTTGGGGGGCTTAACTGAATTGGTCTTTATGCCAAAGATTATCATTCCTAGGGTTAGCTTTGGGTACACACGTTATAATCTCACATTCGACTTCATTTAGTTTTTTGGGGCAGGTAACTATCATAGAATGGCAAGTTAATACACCTCCAGAATGTGTGCTAACACTTACTTGTGTGTGAATAAGCTCTCACTACACGTTTGATGCTTGAAGGGAGACAGCTGTGTGTACTTAACAAGAGAACCTTACAGTAATTCCAGGGAGGAGTAAACTGCCAATGCATTCTCTTAACTTGGGTAATGGAAAACAAATCAGTTCAAAGTTTGACTCCGTCCTCCCAATTGAATGTATCTAATGTGCACAGCCATGTAATGGAAAATATGCCCTTCTAAAATTAGTCTGAACAATTAATGTGATGACTAAATAATTCTGAAAGCTGACAGATAAAAAGAAATTGATTCCAACAGGGGAGTAAGAACTCAAGATATTAATACAGAACTGTACTGCCAAACAAGAGAGACTCACCAGCGCTGGCTTCATAATGAAATGATATTTTAGCCAAACTTTGCAGCCACTTAAAGTAGGTGCAACTCCAGTGGATGCAGTAGCAATGTACCTGCTGAACTATTTTTTCATCATACATTGTTAACTATTTAAACAAAGAAACAGATTTTTTTAAACAAGCAACAGATGATACATTCCATTCTTCCCTGTTTACACCAGTGGTAGTTCTGCACACAGGAGATTACAATTTTTATTTATTTAAATTTTTTTGCCATCAATGACACACTTAACCTTGAGCCTGCAATTGCTCGTGGCATTCCTTAGACTGGGAAGCCTGGAAAAATGTGTTAACAACCAAAGATTACAGCATTAACAGTCACAATCTTAAAAAAAAAAAATAAATCAACAAAACCAAACGAAATGTTTGAGCAAATGACTGGCTACTGATGCAATTGCTGGGAACTCCTTCCTATGTTAAAGAAAACAAAGAGTCCACGAATGTGAAATCTGAAACCCTGTAAAACAAGGTTTTTTTCCTTGCTACTTTTATCTTGAGAAATAAAACCCAGAATAGAGCATCTCTAAACAACAGCAGAGTATATTCCATGGACTTTCCTCAACTACACGACTGTACCAAACAAGAAATACACACCCAAGAAAACCTGATGACCACCATGAAGAGAAGAGTCAGAAGTTAAAGGAGCAGGAGGCTATAGAGAGTCTGAAGATAGTATGATTCATTTGTACTAAAGACAAATTGTCAGGTGTTTGGCTTTTGAGATAGCAAGGAACTTGATTCATTCTTACAAAACAAAAAGCCTTCCATTCTAGTCCCCTTAATTCTTTGATGGGAAACCACAGGGATTATTCCTACAGAAACAGCAACTGGAGAATGCATTACATTTCCAGCTCAAGCAGCTGGGGTAAAAGTACTTTACTTTCAGAAAATGTATCTGAATTACAGTGAAAGGACAAGAAGCTGCTTTTAGAAGTGAAGCACACCACCTTGCCCACGGTATTATAACAGAACTTTTGAATATAAAAAAGCATTTATTAAAAATTTTATTTGAAATGTAGCATGAATCCATAACCATAAGTGTTACAACATACAGTTTTACAGAGAATTTGTACAATAGGACAGGTATTTCTATACATGCGCCCCCTCATTTTTATTTAGTCATTATCAAACAACAGTTAAACAGGAATAATAAGCATTCACTTCTAAAAAGAAAACTTTGGCATGTATACAACTGGCTAATTAAGAGTAAACAGTGGTAGATTCAAGTCAGAAAGAGACCCAATTGTTTTGTTTCACAGCATTTTTGATCAGGATGAAACTCACCAGCACTATTTTCTAGTTATTACAAAAATGAGTAATATTTTTTTTCAGTTCAGAACCCCCTGTTAAGGGACAAAAACCATGTTAAAAGAGATGTAAACGAACCAACTTGGAACTCTAAAAGGTGTCAGTTTTATAGCAGTTTAGGCCACACAAGTATTTTGCACACACTGGTTTGGTCATGAATGAAACAAAACCGTTACTGGTTTGCTCCTATCACTGAACTATGTGTCGTTTGGCACAACTGGCAATTTCTCCTTCAAACTAGAATAAGCACAAGTATCATGGGCTCAGAAGTCATGTCCATTGCTGAAGCACAAGAAAAAACTCAAGTAGAATTTGCACTGAGCCCCTTTTGTCTCGAGTTTCTGTCACTGCTGTTGGCCACTTACAGACCTACCAAATTCATTGAAGAAATGAGGGAAAACAACTTGCAAGGCATTTATTCCTGGCCTTCAGAAGACAATATTCCCATTTCAAAAAGAACCCCTGAATAATAAGACTCCTTTGAGAAGAATTACTTGCAATTCTTCAAGTACTTACTTACAAAAAAATACAGTATTTATACAACTTCTCCAGAACAATTAAAATTGACATATTTTAATGTAGTACTAATAAAATTAATCCATAGATAAAAATGGTTGCAATTCGAAGCAGGAACATCTAACCCAGATTTAGATTTTGCTGCAATTTTATTATTGCTGTGGAACAGACAGTGGTTAAGTCATGTGAATACTAGCCTCAATTTCTTGGACACATCAGAATATCGAATTTGAAAAATGTTCTCCAGCAAGTTAGAACACATTTAATGTAATTTTTACAGTTCCTGCTAAATGTTAGCGATCCAAAGTTGACTGAACCGTGGTGCAACAGGGCACAAATGGCAGAAGAGCAGTGGAGTAGAGGCAGGAATGGCAGAGAACAGTAGAGTAACACAAGTCAGACTCATACTCACTACTTCTTATTCCTAGGCTTTAACTCTTCTGCTGCATTTCGCAGAAAAATGTAGTTTTTCTTTTGTGGATTATAAAATTCGTGACCCTAGAAAGAAAAATAATCTGCATTTACTCTCTTCAAAGAAGAAAATACCAGCATTACCTTAAAATGTAAGAATAAATATTCTATGGGTTTGTTTTATTAAGATTGAATCTTAAAGACTGTTGGACAACAATGGTGGATTAGAAACAGGCAATTATAACAAGTAATTGCAAGAACTGTGCATATCAAATAAAACTTAAGGGATGTTTATCCATTTTTAAGGTATAAAAAAAACTTTTCATAAAAAAAATAACCACATATGTCTGAGCTCTACTTTATAGATGCAACATAGGAGCTCAATGATTATTTTTTTAAATATCATTCTAGGCAGAGAAGCAGCTAGAACTTTAATGGGCACACAGTTTCGCTTTATATTTTCTATATTTTAAATTATGTCACATATTTTTCAAAGCAAAGCCCAAGTTCTACAGGCAACTGCAAAAACATCTCTGTTCCCCAGCTGCAGATGCAAATATACTATTTTGCACATTGCCATTATTTGCATACACATTACCAATTCAATACACAAGTATTCAAATCAGGGAGAGTAAACACTAATAAAGCTATTAAAGTCCAACACATAACTTGAAAATCACCAACTCTACTTGACAGGAGTGGGCCTAGAAAGGATATTTAGTACTTGGTACCCAATGGTGTTACTACTTACTACTGGTGACCTCAGTACCTATCCACCATTGCAGACTGCCCAAGCATTTAGCACAAAATTCATCTGCCCCAACATCTAACAAAGTTATCTTACTTCAGGCAGCACCCAGAACATTAGACACAAACCAATAAATGATAATTTTGCTCTCTTTGTGGCATGCATTCAAGCTCACCTGTGTGATACCTGCATTCATTTCAGTCAAAAACACATGGAATATTGTTATCAAATTTAAAAGCATTAGGTATAACAGGAAAACAATACTTTTAATGGAAATTGCCATACCACTAAAATCACATTTCAGGCTTGCTACTCCCTTCTTAAACTAT